GCCGCCGCGGAGCTCGGGTTAAGTGTAGCAGGAACAAAAGAGAGAGTTTAAAGAAACAGGAGCCCCAAGGAATTCCTTTGGGGGCTCCACTAGGGCTCGCTCGCTGGTGTGTTTTTGTTTTGTTTAAGCTCTAGAGTTGGCTACTGCCTTAACCCATTCCAGCGTTGCATCACTTTGCATCTATATTTGCAGAGTTAACCCAGTTTTAACAGGGGTTGGGGGACATTCAACGGAAGCAAAGCACATGGGTTAAAAGTACAGATTCTAGAGCCAGACTATCTGGGCTGGAATTCCATCTCCACCACTTAATATCTACATGGCTTAGAACAATGTACTTACTCTCTTAGTGCCTCAATTCAATTCATCAAATGGGGATGATTACAGTAATGCACTTAGTAGATTTTGCAATGGATTAGATGAGTTAATACTATCCACGTAAAGAATTTATAGAGTAGAATGTATAGAGTAGTGGCTACCAAACCCACAGATATAGAGCTTGTAAATCTTACAGACAGGCTCATTGTTTTTCCCACAGAGAGGCTGGCGGCATTGAAGTACCCACGTGGCAGTGAGCTAGGCATAGTGGCTATGCATTGGGGTGCTGGCAGTTCGAAACCATCTTCGGTTCCACCATAGAAAGAGGAAGCTTTCTACCTGGGCAGCCTTACCCTGTCCTCTAGGGTCGCTAAGACCTGGCAAGGACTAAATGAGAGCAGAGTAAAAAGGCTTTGTAAGCATTGCATGTGAGAAAGCAAGCAAGCCTTAAACCAAATATTTATCGCAGTGTTCTAGATTCCAAAGATCTTGTTGGCTTACTCTGGTACATTCCAGTCCACGTTCTAAAGAGTTTAAAGATGCCTTCAGCACGCACGCACACATGCACGCATGCACGCATGCACTAATATCCCGGAAACGGTTCCAGATAAATAATCAAACTCCTCTGCAAATGTGATGCCAACTGAATCGTTTTTCTAGGAGTTACTGAAGAAAAACAAAGTCGGTATTTTAACATGCTTTTCCTAGTGCAATACTCAATTTGCTGTTTATATCATTCATATATATGTGCTATAAGTAACCTGTTTCCCCAAAAGTACGACAAGCCCGGAAATAAGACCTACTTACAGTTTTGCCTCTCACTGAAATGTAAGACATCTCCCCAAAATAAGACCACCCTGAAAATAAGGCCCCCTGAAGCTACCATAACTCTGGACTCTGGACCATAGAGGCGGGTGCCACCGCAAAGCTCACTGTTGGCTGCAGCACAGCAGGAGCAGACCGGAAGTGCAAGGTCTCTTTTAATAAAACAATAAATAAAAGATACCCCCTAAAAATAAGACCTAGCACATCTTTTGGGAGCAAAAATTAATATAAGACACTGTCTTATTTTCAGGGAAACGGTATGTATATATCCACTTGTAGATCTCATCCTTGCCAAATTGTCTATGACAATTTTCCTCTACTGTCTTTAACTCTTTCTCTGCCTCCATCATTTTTTGCCAACCTTCTTTTTCTTTTGCCTTCCTCTTCACCTATGTTAGCAAGTGTCCTCATCTACACAGTAGCTGATCCTTCCTTCCCCTCCTATCCCTGGTGAAAGAATATTTTTGTATTGTTCTAGTGTGAAACTCTTTTCTTGTCTCATACAGCATTTGTCCTTTTGTGAATGACTAATTTCACTCAGCCAAATATCATTCATTCGGCAAAACACCCACCAGATTCATCCATGCCAGGAGGTGTTGTGCAGATTCATGAATAGCACGCAGTGTCCTTTAACATTGCATACTATTTCATCCTGTATATGTACCATACCTTATTCAGCCTCAAGGGAAAGACAAAGCTGTCTATTCCCATAAAGAGTTGCAATCTTGGAAACCCACAGGGGCAGCTCGATCCCGTCCAATAGGGAGGGTCCCCATGAGAATTCATTCAAGGGCAATGAGTTTGGTTTGGTTTTCCTGTCTATTTGTCTAGCTCTCCTTCCATTTATAGGCCTTCACGTGGTTTATACCTTTTTGCTGAGTGGTGCAGCAATGAACGCGCATGTGCCTCTATCTGAATTGTTGCTCTTATTTAAAATTAAATTTGAAGAAAAAGTCTTCTAATCAAAACTCGCTGTAGTTTAATTGATGATCGTGTTTGACCTAAGTCCCTAGTGAACTTACTACTTCATGAATAGGTGTGGGAAGCTTTCTAAAACTTTCTGTGTGGCTCTAGTTCTTTTGTCAGCGAAATGACAGGAAGGCCAGGAGAAGCCAGGTCACAAATGATGACAGCAGAATAGAACTTCCTTGCAAGACATTGAACTACCTTGCAAGACATTGAGTCACCTCGCAAGAAACAAACATTTTAGAAAAGTGATAAAGTGTGACATTGGGGCCCAGCCAAGAAGTTGAACCACCACCAAGAATCAGCAGATAGTCCAAGGAGCGACAGCAAAAGTGTGGTGAACCCTGACCGCTGCCCAAAAGCCAGCCGAGATACCTAAAGTGTGGAGAATCCCGATAAGACTTGACTGGGACAGTGAAGACGTCAGTGAAGCCCATTTAAACCCGGGTAGAGACAGACACTGACTTGTTAGAGAGCTAGGAGCCAAGGAGACATCCACTCCTGCTCTCTCCAACGCTCCCCCGGGTGAGCACACCGATGAAGGCAACGCTTGTAGGGACTATGATGCGAGAATGATATGTGTGAAGAGAAGAGTGCTGTGATTATGCCCTTATGCTCATACTTGCCCCAAGACTTTTATCCTTAGTAGTTTGAATTATTTTTAGATTGTCTGATGTTTGTTTGCAGTGAATAAACCGAGCATTCGAAAATGTCTAAGAGCGTTCACTAATTATTGATCACGCCGCTCATGACAATGAACATACCTTTTGTCTTAGGCGTCCTTGTCAGTTTTCCTTTTGCGTTCCTGCTGTGTCCTGTAGGATCTCCAAGTCTTATTCAGCTCCATGTCACAGGGCAGGCGTCTCTGTGGACGAGGCTCACTGGGTCTTTCCCGCGGTTTCCTCGTCGTCTGAGTCTGAGACGTTGCTCTCTTAGCTTCCCGTGTACAGTGGTGCTTCCTTTTCCTCGGAGAAGAAATGGGTCCCCACTTCTCTCTGCTGTCATTTGAATGTCTTCTTTATTATGTGCAAGTGGGTTCATTCCTTGTTCCCTTTTGACAAGCAGGTTGTGCCCTCTTGGCTGTAGTCATACACCTTTTGACTTACCTTCTGGCACGATGATGCTGTCTCCTAGGAAGGAGTGGGGGCTATTTCATATCTATAAATAGCCTGTGGAGAACTGGATCTCTCTCTTCCTCCTCCTCCTCTTCCTCTTGTTGGCCTGGATCACGCAGTTGGTTCCTTGCGACTTGGGTCTGTGGCCCATCGTGTGGCCTGCTGGTCCTGGCAGTCTGCTACGTTGCCACTCAGCCCTGCTTCTTTCTCCCTTGGCCTGGCCCCAACAGGACCTAAAGGAGTCTCTAACCAGCATTGGACCTATGGATTTGAGTGGAACTGCGATTTGACTGCTGTGTGGGGGCCCTTCTCTTTATATAAATCCCTTTGCTGCTCTATTTACATAAATGTATTTCTCATATGTACCTGTGTACCAGAGGTTTTGTTTCTCTAGAAAACCCAAGGTAACATTGGTAGTCAAGTAGAGGAGCCGCAAAAATGAGGGAGATCTTCTATGATTTGGATTTACCCCTTGGCTGCACCAGTGAATTCAAAGGTAATAACAATTGCAAGGAGGGCCCAGGCCAAGGCGGCGTTCCATTCTGTTGTCATAGGGTTAACTATGAATCAGAACTGACTCCATACCCCCAAACCACAACAATCC